CCTCGAGATCTCGCACCTTGACAGCAAGTACATATGCAGACAGTGTGTTGTGAAACTAAAAAATCGTTGTGGACAAATAGTTTAAGTAGAATCTGAGTTAAAAAGTATCTGTGACAAATCAAAGAGAAAAGGAGAAGAGTCATTAGGGAGCGACATGGTTTCATCAGCAAAAAGGGCAAGAACCGCGAAGCCTGATAGTTTTCCTCTGCAGTCGTCTCCTGTTCATTCAGCTTCAGTTACAAAAGCTGGAGAATGGCCAGATTAACCAGTTCAATCGAGTAAATCACAAGCCTTGAGCAGCTGCAATTTCTGTTTCTGTGTCATCAAAGAAAAATATGACCCGGTTATCTTAGAGAAGGGGACAAAATCCATTGACGTCATGGCTGCAGAAACTGCATCAATAGACTGAAGAAGCATAGAACCGTCAACACTCACCTGGAAGACCTCAAAACAGAACATTAGCGAGAACAAATCCCAAGTAACAGCGCTTGTGTCAGAACTACAATCGCCTGTGACAATTGAAAAGGAGTTGATAGATTGTACGGCAGAAAAAAGGAAGAAAGTTGAAGTTACTGTGATTGCCAAATGGCCATCAATGGAGGAAAGAAAAAATCTTCCTGAAGATGTTACGTCTTTAGGTAAAACGCTTGTTCAGGGCACCTACAAGCAAATTGCTAATGCTGTCTGGAAAAATGAAAAAAAAATTAAAAGAAATGATGCGGCTAGTGAGAAAAGAGGTCGAGCGAGAGTGTACACATTTATGCTCCAAGAAGAATCCCAGTTGTTTGAGAAAGACAGACAAAGGACTGGATTTTTCTATGGAGAAACTCTGTTCAGAGGTAGAGGACAGGGCACCAATGCTACACACCGTTTTGTCAGCTGCTGCTATCAATAGAAGAAGTAGAACTGAAACTGTAACTCAAGCTGCTAGATTTGGTGCTGTTGGGATGGCTGCTGCTGTGTGCCTCAGAAACCAATCGAGATACATGACTGCAGTGCAGTTTCTGATCACTAATATCCCACATCATTCAAAATGGCTGGTATGTACTAAGATTTTTACTTCTAGCATGTTTTGCAGCCTGTCACGTTGTTATAGATGCTTTGCATAATTCCAACTTCCGGTTTCCGGTTGCACGAAAGCGAGGCTTAGGATGTATCTTTGACCACGCTGTACTGTGATAACTGACACAACTAGAAGATCTGGAAGTACTGATAGTCTTCTTAGGATAAACCTATATTTTGCAAGCTTAGTGTCATATAGAATTGACGAGCTTAACTTTTGGCTGAAATGTTGGGGAAAGCAGCGTGCATTCAAAGGTAAGTCTACAATGATCATGTCTATCAATAGTGAAGAAGAATTTAGACGAGGTAAGGTTTAAACTTGCTGACAAACCGCTCTACTGTTGTTGACTGATTAAATACTCAATGTGAGGCTAAATTTAGTCCGTAAAAATTACATAACAGATCTGCGTGAGCGTTCTTTAATTCATTTATACCTTTCTTTTCTCATAATATTTACTATTTTCCAACGTATTTAATGTATAATGGGACTAATTTTTTACAGGAAATTACAAGACCTTCTCCTCAGATGTGGAGCGTCCTTGGAATAGAAGTTTGGATGGTTTGGATGGCGTTTTTAAAGACTCTGGAAAAACGGCTAAGTTGAATAAGAAAACTGAACAACTGTTACATGACAATTTCCATGAAGATCACTTTTTTTTATGTTCGAGCCATTTGTGGAGCTAGCTACAGAAAGGAAAATCACAAACTATGCTTTACAATAAAAAGTCATCTTCAGCTGTTAAATATGCTTACTGTACATGTAGAGCTGGCAAAGGAGGTTGGTGTAATCATGTTTATGCACTAATGAAGGTCATTGCCAAATTTTATTTGGAAGAATCGAAGTGCATCCCTGAGCTTCCACCCTGTACTTTAAAACATCTGGCTGGACAGTGCCACGAAAGCGGCAACAGAATATCTCTAAATCTTCAGTTGTGGACACCACAGTAAAAAAAAAGCCAGAATCCATGGGAGTTGCGTGCAATTTGCTAGAGCAGAACATCTGAAACAACTTAATTTTGATTCATTAAGTCAGTGTCAAATTGAACTGGCAAAGGTTAATCCCATGATCCCTTTTGTGAATCCCATCCGCAAGAAAAAAGATATTCTTGCAATTGATTATAAGGAAACAAAGTATGGTAGATACCCATCTTTTTCACCACTTTCACAACAATTACCAATTTATGGAGAAAATTTTCAAGTGTATTACTCGGTTGACCCAACGATAGATCAAGGAACCGTTTGATTTAATTCAAGAATATCCTTCCTTTCCTCACGAGGAAGTCCCGGTTTACTATGAAATTGGTCAACATCAATTAAAAGATGAGGAACTCCTTGTCTTTGATGATTTGGATTTATCAGATACAGACTCCTAATCTTTACAGAGAGACACAAGAGACCAAGCGAATTCTCCTATTTGGATGGAGCAGCAAAAAACAGGGCGACTGCTTCCAAGTTTTATGAAGTTTACAGTTGGAAGAGAGGGAAAGAAAGGCATGCAGAAAACTTTGCTTCTGGGGGCTCAACTCCATCAACATTTGTGCAAAGAAAATTGGACCATGATAAAATGTACAAGTCAGTTGCTTGGAGAATATACCTTGAGTGTTTTGCTTCACTTGGACAGGATGTGAAAGTTTTGCCCTGTGGATTAGTGGTAAATGTTACTAGTAGATGGTTAGGCTGCTCACCTGATGCGAAATTACTGTTCCCCAATAAAGTTGGTATTGGAGAGTCCAAATGACCGAATGATCAAAGAGACAGTGACCTCATGGATGTGGCACAGGCCAATAAAGATTTTTACTTTGAAGCTGTAGGAAATAGTTTACATTTAAACCAAGAACATCCGTACTATTTCAAGTTCAATGTCAGCTGGCATTAACTAGTCAGCTATGTTCAATGACTGTTGTTTATACACATAAAAGTCTTTATATTGAACGTTTTACTCTTAATGAACAATTCTGGAAAGATGCCCTTACAAAGGTTAACAACAATTATTTTTCCTTCATCTTTCTAAAGATAGTTGGTAATTAAGAGTGTGAAATTATCTTCAGCAACACCCCTTAGAATAAGGTCGCATAATAGAATACTGTATGGATAATTATGTTACTGTCACCAAAAACAAAACAAAAACAGATTTTAAGAATGAAACACATTTTAAGAATAATACTAGCCCATGAACTATAACTTTTACTGTTATAAACTTTTACCCTGCATTTTTTGTTAACACATTGATATTGTTTAGCAATAATTACATTTTGGTTACTGTAGAAAGATAAAAGTGGTACACTTAAGTCTGACACCTCCACTTAGATTCCACCACAGTTTGGCGCTCAGGTCAATAGTGATTTACTTATTTTCCATTTGCCACACAGAATAAACATTACAGAAAGAAAATGAAAGATATATATATACTATTACTAACATTGCACAATTTACAGGACAGGAAAAGCTACAAAAAAGAGTTCAAAATTAAATGTAATATCAAGTGACTTAACTTTTGTAATAGACAGAGTGGCGAGGAAGCCCAGTGGAAGCTAAATAGCTTCTAGAAATTGGGCTCCTCATACTTGATTATGATTTAATGTAAGCTGCCATATCATGGTCAGGCGAGTTTGATTTATAGCTCTCTCGATGAGGCATTTTTTTTAATGAAGTCTTGAAACTAGCCTGATTCTCAGACGTCCGAGGTCGTTCGCGGTCCCTTTCGCTTCCCTCCCTCTCCTGTCGGATATACTCTGGGCGAAGTCGTGTTCGTGACGTCAGAGTCATTGTCGATTTTCACCAATCAGAGCGCGTGTACCATATTTCGAGAAGTGTGGAATGTATGGAATGTAATTTCCCACACATCGAGTCAAATCAAAATGGCGGAAGATGTGAAGGTTTCGATTCAGCCGTGCAAAACGCTTGCCAAGTTTTTGGCATGGAAACACTGTTCCCCGAGCAGTTCAAAGCGCTCAAAACGTTTGCTTATGGTACTGACGTCCTTCTAAACTTGCCAACGGGGTTTGGAAAGTCTCTTGTGTTCCAGATGGCTCCTTTAGTTCATGCCGAGTTATCACGAGGCCGCGATGGATTTGCAGCGAACCCAGTAATAATTATAATATCCCCTTTAGTGAGCCTTACGGAAGATCAAACAAGTTACTTACGGAAATGTGGCATCTCAGCTTGCTCGATAGGAGAGGATAAGGTACTTGACATGAGGACTGAGAAAGGAGAGTGTTGCGTGGTATTTTCCTCGCCGGAATCCTTATTAGGAAATGGTACGTGGCGAAGCATGTTATCTTCTGACGTTTACCAGAAGAATTTAATTGGCATCGTTGTGGACGAAGCACATTGTATTAGCCATTGGTAAGCAATATTTTTGCTTTTTTAATTTGACACCCGAACAACTTTAGGTCTATCATTTATAATAACCTTAAGCGAGGGAAAAAATAATTGTAGCAACGATAGAACAGTAGTGAGCTTATCTGAGAGCAAAGTTCTTCACAATCTTCAACAGAAACATACATGGAAAGAAAGAGGGCACTATCATTATTTTTTTTTTTTTTACTTTTACAGGGGAACTTCCAAGAGTAAAGAGGCAATGGCCTTTAGAAGATGGTTCTACAAATTAAGCGAGTTGTGTTCTTTGGTACCAAATAAAATTCCGTTCATGGCTGTAACTGCCACAGCAACAAGACAGACAAAGGAAACGATAACTTCTGTCCTTCGATTTGGAAAATTTGTTGAAGTATCTGAAAGCCCAAACAAGGCAAATATTTGTTACAGTGTCCAAACCATGGATAAGCGTAATCCCCTCATTCAATATTTCCAGTGGATAATGAATGAACTGAAAGAGAAGAGGGGCGGAACAGAAAGAACAATTATATATTGCCAAACCATTAAGCAGTGTTCAACATTGTATTCCCTCTTTGCACAAGAAATGGGTGACTCCATATTTACCAATGACAACAAAGATCCCAGAAATCGTGTAGTTGAAATGCTGCATGCCCTTTCTTCAAAGTCAATCAAAGAGGTTGTTTTAGAAGAAATGGGACAGGAAACTGGCTGCATTCGAGTACTCATCTGTACAATAGCCTTCGGCATGGGAGTTAACTGTAAAGGGGTCGAAAGAATAATCCACTTGGGGCCGTCAAAGTCTGTGGAGGCCTACATTCAGGAGAGTGGAAGGGCAGGTAGGGATGGAAGCCCGAGTAAAGCCCTTCAGCTATACCAGCCACTGATGCTTCTTCATGTTGAAAAAGACATGAAAGACTCTGTTAAAGGCAAATATACCTGCAGACGTGCATTTCTAATGGGCCATTTTGATCAAAAGGGTGGAAAGCCTCAAAGTGACACTCAAAGTGATTTTGTTTGCTGTGACCTTTGTTCTAAGGATGAAAATTTGAAAGTTCCTATTTCAGCACCTGCCCCTTATGCTGGAAAGACACGTACAGTTTCCACTTCACAGAAAGCCACTTTGAAAGGAAAGCTCATAAGATTAAGGAAATCACTTTTGGTGGAGCTGTTACATCAATCTCCGAAAGGAGGATTACCAGTTGCATCTGTTCCTGAATTGTTAATTGGGTTCTCAGACTCTCAGATTGCTCAAGTTTTGGAAAACTGTGACAAGATATTCAGCATTTCTGACATCAAGGCAAATGTTGAAATCTGGAAAGAAAGGCATGCATATGCAATTATGGACACTTTGGCAGAGGTCTTCCAAGATTTAAGTCACGATGCAGGGCAAGCATATGACTGTCAAAATTACTTTGATGGAGATGATGAAGAAGATGATGACTGGGATGCATTGTTCGATGATGTGGAGTTAATGGATGTGGACTGGGACAACTTCTCTGCTAGTAACATATTATATGATGATTCCACCTTTGTAGAGGAAAGTCAAGATTTTGAAAGCAGTGATATGCATATTCCCGAACTGGATGATCTGATTGACAAAGTTCAAATAGAGTGAATTAACATTTCTAGTAAGTTAAGCTTGTTCTTGATATGTGGTGTTCTATTTTGCCAACTATTGTCACAAACTTAGACATCTCTCTTCTTAGGCTGTTTATCTCTTTAGATGAAAATTTACCTTTGTTTGTTCATTGGGTTATGTAAATTATAAAGTAATAAGTACATTTGTACTCGTGGTGTTTTATCATACCTATTTGACTTTAATTTGATAAAGTAAAACCCTTTAACTTACAGAACCTGCATTTCCCTAGTTACACTGTAGCCTAAACAGGTTCTTACATAAATGGTAATTTAGCACAAATTTAGGGTATTAAGGTTCTTATTTTCTGAAGGAAAAAATACATTGTTAGCTAAAAGTATTAATTCTTGTTTCATTGAACAATGCAAACAGATCTTTGTAGAGAGGGGGCCTACATGTAACTGGCAAATTTTAGCCTAACAGGTGCTTAAAAACCAGTTTCTCAGTTGCAGGTTTTTACTGTTTGGTACTCTTTATACCATATAATGTAGAAAGTAAAAGAAGGATGAAATGAGATGAGGAGTTAATCTATCACAAATTAATTGTAGTTTAAAATTTTAGAAAACAATGTTCATTATGCGCCAATAAATTTATGCTACAAGTCAAGTCTATCTTGCTTTTCTTGCAAGGTCAATGTTTTTCTTGTGCTTATTAATCCACTGATATAAATTGGACATGTCCAGCCTTGACAATGGGTCTCTGACAAAGTTTGAAAAGTGCTTGTAATGTCTTCCTGGAGTGCGGCAAAACACAGACTCTTCGATAAGTGAATTCACAACAGCTCTTAGATCTTTTGAGTAGTCAGCTGAAACATGCTTGCCTGACCTTTGCTTGACAAGAATTTCTCTGTCCATGCAAGAAAGCATTTGTTTGGACTTTTGCTGTCCATTTGAAATTCTCCTTACTGCATCCTCTGTAACATTTGGCCCAAGATTTTTGATAGGTTGTTTTAGATCATTATTGTCATGTTCCAAGTCAAGATCAATAGCAACATTTTTCCCTGGCCCCCCTTTGTTGTTAACTGTACGATTCCATACCAAGCTGTGGGCCTCAGCTGGGGGAAGGAGAGAATATACCTGCAAAAGCAGGTAAAGAGCTTCTAGTGCATACTTTGTAGTAGATTTGTCTTCTTTGAAATGCAGCAGAAAGAACTTCCAGCATCTAATTGATCTGTCACCATCTCCCTCTGATGTTGAATCAAGAAAGTTCAAAAACAAGAGTCCTTGAGCTAACAGTGAGCAGTTATAATTAAAAACATCATCATCATCATCTAAATCACTCAATGAACCTTTCTTGGGATAATTAGAGGATAGCACAGGCTTTTCAGGGATTACAGGGGGAGGATCATGGGTAAGTTCATGGTCTCTCCTCCTTTTGCCATCATATTTAAATGAGTTATTACATCCTGGGCTTCGGCAGGGGAATCTTCCATCAGTAGTCAGCTCTTGATTATTAACAGCATCATTCTTTTCCTGTTCAGAAAGTATTCCATCTAAGAAGCTATTTAGGGAGTGCTGATCTATAACAAATTGATCTACAATTTGGCCAGACAGTTTCATTAAGTAATGTTTTTTCTCCTGGTCATTACCACTTCTTGCAGCAACAGGTGATAGATTGTGTGTCGGCTGATCACTGATCTTTTTCATGCCGAGCACCAACATTGCTGCCGCAATGATACGTGCTTTTATTTCAAGGATGGCAAATGCTTTGCAGTGCACCCAGTTGCTGTGCACATCAGCTGTCACATTCCGTCGGTTAATCAAATTGCGATCAGCAAAAAGAGTCCCTTTGTCTGTGTCAGAAATGGTTGAATAGTGCCTCTTAAAAAATACCTAGAACAAAGAAAATTAAATTTTGGTTGCATTGCATATGTTGTAGTTAATTTTTTATCTCAGGTAATTTTTCTTTTTCTTTTGTTTTTGGGTATGGTAATGTATGCTAATGGAATTGAAACAAAAGAAAAATCAAATCTACCTGAGATAAAAAATTAACTACAACACATACAATGTACATAACTCTGATAATCCATTAATTTTAATTTGATCAAGTTGTCCTTTCATTGTCATTACCTCTCATGTTGTATGCATGTATGAGTGTATTATTATTATTGGTAGTAGTAGTAGTTGCAGTGTTAGTATCAATATTATTATTATCATTGCTATAATAAGTATTCCTATTGATAATGTTATTGTTGGTATTAGTATTATTGTTAGTAGACTGTAATATTGGCAAGATTGTAGGCTCTTTTTTTGTAGACTGATTCTCAGACACCTGAGGTTGATCACTGCGTAGAGGGAGAGAAAGAAAGGGGCTGCAATTGACGTTGGATGTCTAAGAATCAGGCTAATTTTTATGAGATTTGACAGTAGATAGACAAACTCCAGGACTTGGTTGTATCTACGTGTAAAACTTTACTGCATCCTCACATTTCATGTTTCCATCTACTTCTGAAAAAGATTAGGCGATAAAAACGTTGAGTACAGATTTTTTTTTTGTATTATTGACCATAATGGTATGAAATCTTCTGAAGATGGTTTGAACTTTCTGCCCCTGGAAGTGAAAACTTAATGAGGTGCGGACAGCATTTTCAAAGACATGTACAAGTTAAGCTTTAAGAAATACTGCATTTCCTTACGTTCAAGAAAGTAACAGCAGTATGCCAGTCAGCAATTTCCATGTGGATGCCCTCTAATTTTTCTTCTGGAGTGTAAGAATTCTGGACAGCCTGAATGACATTCACACCACGTTCAACAGTGAGCTGGTCCCCAACAATGGGAATGCTTCTACGCAAAGTTTGGTCAGCATTTTCCAAGTTTGGGGAGTAACTTCTTATTTGTTTTAGGATGTCAAGCATTTCCTCTGATTTATTTTCACTTTTAAAAATAACACCCAAAAGAACCTTGTGGAAATAAAAATAAGAATAAGATTACATTTTAAAAATTCTTGCAATTATTCCATCTTTTTTGTTGATTACTCAAGGCTTATGGATAATTACCTTCTCAGTTTTCTTTGCCATTTCTTTGCTGAATTGATGTGGTATATGCTTTACACAAACAGATTGTAGAAACTCCAAACAGGGATGATGCTCAACAAGTACACGCGAAACCAGATAGGTAAAATCCCTTCTCAACATTTCGTGATCAGCTGCACTTGGAAGAAGCTGGCAATTATCTAGCTGTGATAACTCTAGCTGCCCCCTCTTCCTGCTTCCAAGTGTAACACGGTTTTTAATAGCAGAATGGTTAACTCAATGAATGTCTTTGTTTTCTCGATCAGAAGTCATGTCACGGGTTGCGATTCTGAGATCAATATTGTCAAGCACAATTTTGAAAGTGCCATCCGTGTGTTCATGTTTAAATTCCTCTGGATTGGAAATCACTTTAGCGTGAAGGTGTTGCAGTTCTTTAAGTTTTTCATCAAACTTATTGCCATAGGAGTCAAGTTTCTTCAAAGAGGTCTGACTTGATACTGAGAGCTTCATTGAGTTTAATCGCTGAACCAGCTTCTACAGGACATAAACAATGCAAAAAAATTCATATTTAAAACTAAAACCTGTATATACATATTATGACGTTGTTCTATTTCCATGTGGCTGTAATTTTTTTTTCAAACCAGTTTGATTTCATTTCCTTTATTTCAAAATGAGACAAAAAAGGCAAAAGTAAATTGGTTTGAACAACATTTAAACCACACTAATGGTAAATAACAGATATATTTGGCTCTGATAAATGAAACCATGTGAGGTATCAGGAAAATTTTCTACTAGTTTGTTAGTTAATAATACATCATAGAAATAAGGCAACTATGGCAATTCTCCAGGTCACTGCATGGCATGACAACTGCGATGCAGCCTTGATAAGCTACTTTGGCTATTAGGAAGATTATTTTTTACTTATAACATCAATGATAGCCTCTGATTGTCTGGAATTGGATGTATAAAAAAAAAAAACAAAGTTACATTAATTTCATATGCAAACCTGTGTTGCACTTTGCCTGACCATGAGAGATAAGTGATGCTGTTGCATTCATGTGCATATTGCGATTCTTTAAAAGGGTGGACCCAGCTACTGCCATGGCAGGTGTCCAGTCACAACCTTTCTCCTTGACTGTTGCACATGTTGTGAGAAAGGAGTAAAAAAGGGGTGCTCTCTGTTTCCATTCTTCACAGAGTTTTTGAAAAGAAAAGTTCTCCATTTCATCTGGTCCACTCTTGCGAAGCACAGATGGCTTTTTTCTGGAACATAGGTCATTGCATTCTTTGCCCAGGGCTTGTAAGGTTTTCTTTATTAGGAAGGTTTTTAGTGAAGAGCAACGAAATGCAGCATCTGCAATCTGTTTATAAGTACCTCGTCTTGCTAAGGCTTTTCCTAGGGTCTGAAGATCTGCACCCAAGGTTGCCTTGAATTCCCTTGCACATCCTGGATAGTTCAAGGTGACCTTGATATGAAAAGTATTTGTTGAACATGAGCACTCTGTACAAAACTGTTTTGTGTTTTACAAACTCATTATGTACTCACACTTGACAAAAAACAATTAGCTTAAAATATAATACTTAAGGAGCAGCATTTCATATCCACTTTATGTCAAAATATAAAAATGTTCAAACCATTATTTTATAAATTCCTTTTCAAGCAATGAACCATTATCGAATGGAGTAAAACACGCATGTTAGAACCTACTGCTGGCAGAAATTAGCCATTTTAATGATCAACAATATAAAAACTTGTTTATCCAAGCTATATCAAGTAGGTTCTTTGGTTACCATTAATAAGCAATAATAAATAATCAAGTCACAAAAGTTTGACTTTGAGATTAGAAATTTATATTACGAGAAAGTACTGTGCCAAACTGAAAATACAAATTAAAGTATTACTGTAATTTCTACAACCAAAAGAGAAATTTCCACACCTGCACACAAGGGTCTTTATCTAAGTTAGTTTTGGGCACTGTTTCCCTATTTGCTGCACCGCGTTTGTCCGGTAGTAGCTGCTGGGATGTGCTAAGTTGACTTGCTGGTAAGAAGAAATTCCTCCCGATGTTTACACAAGCTGGAAATGCTCGCACCACCACGGGAACACTTGAATGCCTTACTGCTGTATATCCAACCATCGAAACTGTGGGAGGTGGCCCTGTTAGACTTTTAACCGCCGTTAGTGGCGACGGAAATCTCGTTTGATGTTGAGGTAGATTTGAAGGTGCAAATAGAGCTTTCTTCACTGGCTTTGCTTCCAGCGTTCTCGCGACAGGTAAGTCCTGAGCTTGATCTTGACTCAATCCCCGCTTTATGCGAACCACGGTATTTTTAGACATTTCTGCCCTCAACTCGTCTTCGAGACTTTTGAGATTCGACATCATCTTTTCGATCTTTTTCAACTTTGGGTAACATTTTCTTTTGCAAACGTATTGCAAGTCCTCGTTCGAAGACTGTAATTCACCGCCTAAAATCTTGCAAAGAGTCCCTCGCAAATCCCACTGCGAGCGCCCAAAAACCGCTATTCTGTCGCTTGTTTCAAGAACTTCAGTGCAGATCAAGCACTTAATCAAGTTCGTCTGGGATAAGACGGCTTTTTTCGGCGTAGAAGTTAGAAACATAGCTAAGAAATCTTCGCTTTCCAAAAATCTGATCGAGGAAAAACCCGCGGAAAATTGATTTGTTTACTTTTCCATGCTTCATTTCTCACACGTGTTGTGACTGGCTTTTCATATACAAAAGGGGCTCTGACGTCACGAACACGACTTCGCACAGAGTATATCAGACGGGAGAGGGAGGGAAGCGAAAGGGACCGCGAACAACCTCGGACGTCTGAGAATCAGGCTATCTTGAAACTAGAGTAACTTGTCAGTTCTGTAAGATTATGGGGAAGGGAGTTCCATAGATGGAGGATTGTGAACTGTTTAATGTTTGTTCTACAGAAATAAGGTCGGTAGTTATTAGCATTTCGAGTATTATAGGTGTGTACTTGGCGATTAGTAACAAATGTTGTGTTAAACGTACGAGGAAGGAGGTTATTATGATGTGAGTACATAAAACATGCAACAAAGAACGCATTAAAGTTAAAAATGTCAAGGAATTTAATAGTCCGAAAAAGAGGTCCAGTATGGGCAAGATATTCAGCTCCACAAATGATTCTGACGATGCGTTTATGTAGGTAGAGAATCCTATTCAAATTGGGTGGATACGTTGAGCACCATGCAATGTTACAATAGTAATGTTATGGGTAAACCAATGTATAGCATAAGGATGAGAACGGTTCTCCGGTTGAGAACATACTGAAGTAAACTGGACAAGCTGTGTCCTGTTTGTCAAATAGCTAGAGACCCAATTAAAAGAATGCCCACTAATACCGTAGTGATCGAGCTTATTGAGCAAAATATGATGATCAGTAGTGTCAAAAGCTTTTGAAATGTCCACGAAAACTCCAGCAGTCGACTCTGTTATCCATGGCAGAGACAATATTATTAACCAACTGAATCAATGCCATACATGTAGAATGATTTCTACAAAATCCAAATCCGATTCATGCAGATATGATTGGATAGTGAAACAATGTCAACAGAGCTGCAACTGTCCACAACTGATTAATAGATCCATGCAGAGACAGTGGAATTGTTCTGCCTAAAAGTCGAAACTTTTTCACCTTATTGATAAAACGTTTCACATGTATTCTGTTGGCGGCTATTTTCTGGTTAATAACAGTTTCCTTAGCTTCAAATTGATTCCTGGATAGAAGAAAAATTGGCAAGTTAAGCCTCACCCCAATTTTGTCAGTAACATCTCTTATGTTAAATCCTTTATCCGTCATTATTTCATCACCATCATCAAACATGTTTGGGTGAAGAAGACCACTTCTTTCCACTATCTCTCGGTCAGATAAACACCCATAATAAAGCTGGGAAACAAGAGACACTTCTAGCAGGAGTAATTCCTACAACGGCATAATAGGTCTCCCTAACCATATAGTCAGAATACATGTTCCCTTTTAGTTCTACTGATGTGGGAGCTTCACAGTAGAACTCAGAAGTCGGAATTATGCAAAGCGTCTATCACCACTTTTTAATTTATTTATCATGTATGGATCAGGACTAGCTGTATTCTTACGACATGCATAATCAACATACCGTAAAATTCCGAAAATAAGCCCCGAGGCTTATATTTTTCAAAGGCCCTTTTTGAGGGGCTTATATTCCGAGAAGAAATTTGTGTTTCAAAATCGATTGGACTAGCCTTATAGTTAAAAGGAAATTGACCGCTTTTGCTTTATTTTAGTTTGTATTTGAGGGCAATTTCCAAATACAAGCCCTCGGGGGGCTCATATTCGGAGGGGCGATTTAACGGAGGGTTTTTTGCATTACGAGGGGGGCTTATATTTGGAGGGGCTTATTTTAGGAATTTTACGGTAGTTGTCATTTTTTTGCTAAAATTTTTACCTAATTAAAGAAATATTTCTGTCCAGGCCTTATCGCGTTAAATTTAATTGCTATGTATTACAACTATATGCAATGAGTACAAAACAAATTATCTGCAAGGTCTGTCTATGAAATCTCATCATAAGTGTTGTCCTTCAGCATGATTAAAAATAAAACTATCATTCTTTTGAGGGCGTTAAACTTCTTGTTAGCAAATGGATAAATAGATCCAAGCTTTCACCAATTGACAGTGTTCATTGGTGAAAGTTTGGATCTCAATTTTGTTTTTTAAACAGTAGGGCCACACTATAAATGATTTTTTTCCTTCTGCTCATGTGGTTTGGGTAAAAACTATCTATGTGATAGCAAACGATAGTATACATTGTGTTCAACAGGATTCATTAGCAAGGCTGAGTACTCTGAGGATTACAACTAGCCATACCTACCTGTGAAGCTGGATGAATATGACAAGGACCATGACAAGCCTCTCTGTGAAGTAGTTGCCAAGCAAAGTGAGTATATGGCCAGTGTGCATGACCACCCATCCACAGAAAATGAAGATCAGCCCTCAGAGAAATCAAACAAGTCCAAGTGCCACACCCCAGACTTTGGGCGCAAGATGGTCCTTGACAACCTGGATTACACCCAGGAGGTCTACTGGATGACGGAAGACCATCAAAACACTGATTGCTATCATGTCACTGCAATGTCGACCGCGAATAGGGTGCCTGGTACAAGGTTAAGCACCGAAACACCACAGTCTGGATTGCTGGAAATGGAGAACAGAAATTGTCTGCCATCTGCCCTTGATAATGCTAAGCAGGGAGATAACTATGTCAAGTTTGTGGAGAGAATCATAGTCAACAACATTCTGTGTCTTGGATATCTGGCCAATGAGTGTAGCAACCACATTCCCCATCAGTATAGCAGTGAGATGATAAAGAAAACTGATACAGTAAGTATGGACAGTAATGTATGATGGCAGACTCTGACAATGAGCAAGTAGAAATTTCAATGGGTTGGGAGTGGATTATTGCGTTCGAGGTACGAGAGCGCAACCCCTAACTTCTGTTGGGTGTTCTGTGCATTATTGGGTGTCCTGTGCAATGAAAAAGCGAGGTTTTCTGAGATTGCATTTGTGTCGACACAGATTTGCCTCGCTTTGAGGCCCTTGCTTATGTTTCGCCTCACTTTAACATGCTAACTCACGTGGTGATTCGTGTGTCCTCGGCCTTCATCTTTCAAACGTGTTTGCTGAGGTCTGTTATTCTGTCTTCGTGAAGCAGTCATCTTCCAAAGTTTGCTGAGGTTGCTAGTCTGTCTTTATGCATAAAGCGTTCATCTTTTAAAATTTTGCTGAATTTTCGTAAAGCGTGCATATTTCAAGAGTTTGCTGAAGATCTACTATCGATCTGTGTTTGCTGAATCTTCGAAAGTGTTCAACACCCTGAGTAAAATTTTACTTTAGATTAAGGCTTCATATTTTTCAGCATGGTTCGTCACTGTCATTGGAAAATTTGGGCGACTCCTGGTGCATGCACCAAACCAGGTTGTTTAGCGCGGCGTCTGTTGTGCCACAAAGTAAATCTACTGAGTTGTACAGCTTGGCGGCCATTGTGCCACCAAGTAAATCTACAGAGTTGTGTAGTTCGGTGGATGTTGCGCCACAAAGTAAATCTACCGAGATGTGAAGCTTGGCAGCACCATTTCATCATGACTTGTGATATTTTCAGCATCGGACAAACGAACATTTTAGCTCTATGTTATTTATTCGGAAAAACTTATAAACCAGCCCACAGTAGCACCACTCAAGTCATTGAAATCAACACACTCGACCAAATTACTGGAAAAGTTATTGATGTAAGCCGCACATACATTCCACTGAACGCTTTAATGATTCCCTTGAAACGTGTCAAATTGGGAGGTGTAGTGTAAGTGAACGAGTGTTCAAACACCGATTCATTGTGCCCTAGCGTTCACCACAAAAAAGTGGTCTTGGGTCTTTAAAACAAACACAAGTTAAGAACACTTGCTAGTAACGGTCTCATTTTATAGTAAATTTCACTAATTCTGTACATGTGGAATTCCCAATAAATAAAATTAATGATTACATCTAAAATGTTGTCAACTCTTTGCTTTTTAACAATACCTGGGCCGGGTTGTTCAAAGCTGGGTTAAGAAAACCCAGGCTTAGTGGGAAATTTGAATTCAGATGTGAAAGCTTAAAAAGTAAATTCAGTTTAATTCAGTTTGTCAAAAATTTGATAATTGGATGCTCTTAAAAATAACAGAGAAAATTATCTGAAGAGTTTTTAAACAAAAGAAAAAGAAACCCGGGTTAAGCACTAATCGGCCTTCGAACAACTGTGCCCAGTAGAACATCTATTGCACCAGTTTAAATAGGGGTTTCGCTGTACGCAACCTTTATGTTCAAAATAAGCCGAAACCATATTTATCTATCGCAAGAACCATCCACCCTTCTCCCTCAACTGCTACCTGTACGCCTAACAAACATATCGAACACACTCTCCTTAGCCCTGATTACTCCTAGTCTTCAAGGGGAATAATAATTGAAGTCCAAAGTAGCTGGTGGTCTTTAACACCCTACAAGTGTGATCAGATGCCCTCCTTTACTGAAACACAGGGTTTTCCCTACATTTCTGGAGTATAAAGCACTGCTAGCCAAGAAAAATGTTATCAACATGGTTTCGTTTCTTTCCGGGAAATCAGATTTAGTGTCGTAACTGTTACTGTGAGCTATATTTTCTCAAATTTTCCGCGATACATTAAGAACATTTGGAAAAAAAAATCTCTCTAAAATAGCCACCATTTCAGCTGGTCTTCTCACCCCATCATTGGCAGACTGTGCTGTGTCTAGAATGAGGCTAAAGGGAGAATAATTATTCATTTCAACAGGTCTTCTTTGGTATGATCTACGAGAATAAAAATGATGCTGATGGTATCTTGCGTGTTCTCCCGGAGCTGCATCAATATGTCCTGTTTGATGGAGGTTTGAGGGGTTGTTGGAGATCAGCTCAGTGTGGAGAGGGGAGTTAATGGGCATTGTTCCCTGGCAAATGGCTTCACCCCTGAAGAGAGGCTGGAGGGCCTGCATTTTGAGATCACAGACTGGCATGGAGGCCATAAGTTCACTGAGGTTGGTAGATATCATTATTGTATGAATTTCTACTACAGTCATGTTATTCTTAGATGTTTCCATGGTACTTATTGGCTTGCTACTGACAGTCGTTTTCACAATAAAACCATTTATTGTGGTAAGCATGTGGCTGCGCTGGAAATTGGAACCATATGTTTTTTCTTCAAGTAGGAGAGACTAAGTCTGTGGCTTCAGTACAAATCGATGCTCTTTATAATTCTTCAAATTGGCGAGGCTGTTGCTAATGCATCGTCAATTTCTTTCAAAACTATATCTCACACAAGATAAATTAGCTACTCTCAAAAGGTACCAAAAGCAATGATGTTGAGAAATGATTTATTTTACTAGAGCCATCTCATACTGCCCGAATACTATTATTTTTGGGTTGCTTTTTCAAATCTGTATAATGGAGCATCTGCTGGTGACAAATGCAAAATGTACAGTGATAGAAATCTTGCCAACAGAAGGAACATGAAAGGGGATGTCACAGCTGCTGCCAATAACCGCCGCAGGTTTCTCCAGCTGGAGGTTGAGACACGAGTAATTGCTGCAGCCACGGAAATCTTTGGCATGAGTAGCTTGGATGATCAAAACGCTACCAAGAATGCCCCTTCCAATTTCACAGATGCAGCAGATGTTGCCAAAACGAGCTACCTGAGGCGTATAGCATCACTTGTTGTTGACACTTAAGTCATTGATCCACAATGCAATCTAGATATCCCGCAGTCAGTCCAAATAGTATAAAACGAGCAAAGTGCAAGACAGCAAGAAATAACAGTACTCAGGGAAGGAAGAAGGAGATTCAAGTGCACGGCTCCTGATTGTAACAAGAATTTTGCTCATGAAGGAAAACTCAGGAGAGATCATGAAGCAAAACACAACCCTCCTGTGCACGTGATTATTGACCAAATTCCAGCCAGACTGTTTGTCCTGGACACACCTATTGATGATGATGACAGAGATGACACGCTGTCTTATCAGGAAGCTCTCCTTGATTATGGCATGATTGTTATAAACTTCTGGGATGCTATTTCTGAGGGCAGCCCACCACCTTATCTGGAACCGGTCTACAAAGAGCAGGGCTGACGCAGGGGGCAACATTGCCCTGGGCCTTGATCTTGAATTTAAAAACAAGATGGTGAAACAGTCTATAAAGAAACTTGGCGTTAGTGCCACCTGGCAAGTCATCAGACAGGATATGCCACTCCCTTAACATGACTGCCAACTTAAAGTCTCGCTTTCACAGCACCATGTCTGTCTTCAAGAGGTCTGGACGACATGACAATCAATCAACCAAAGGTGATCTTGCCAAGATTGTAAGGGAACTTGGGACCCATCAAGCATTTCGTCATAGTGCAGGCAGAAAGTATGTTTGTTATGCAAGGCAAAAGCCAAGCATATTATGCGGGTTTGACATGCAGAAACTGTTTACCTGGATTGATGAGCACAAACTGCACATCATTCTGCATAGACGTACTCTTAGCTTTTGATTTTTATGCGTACATTCTAGGTAGCAAGGGTGAAATAATCGTTTATATAAATGGGAAGACCAAATTAATTTTATTACAATTTATCATGTACACCTGATTGCATTAATGCAAAAACAAAACCAAAAAAAGGCTATAGGATTTAATAAGCCATGTAAATTATGTCTTGATATTTGAAAATCCTGAGAACACTATTTGAAAACACTACAGTGGTACCTCGTTATAACGAATCTCTGTAGAAGAATGTCCTTGGTATAATTTTTTTTACCCCAGCAATATTTAAATATATATGAATTAGAACCCTGGTATAATGAAACCTCATTACAGCAAACAAATTTTGGCAGACCATTGGCCCTACGCTATGTCGAGCTTCTACTGTATCATACTTTATTTTGATGTCAATTGAGGGTAATAATATTGGCCACTGTAAGTGCTCTGCTTCATCTTTTTGTCAAACTAGAGTTAAGGATGATGCCTAAGTCACTCCTATACTTTTTTCCAATTGTCATTTGTTTCATTGCTTTTTTTAATGTTGTTGCAATTAGGTGCTTATGTGCCATCTCAAATGTTCCTTCTTAACTGGGAACAGAATAATAGTAGACTGGAAAATGAACACCCAGGAATGTCTTGGGGTTTTTGCATGCAGCCAGGGGGGGAGGGGGTGGGGGTTAAATTACCTGTCCTTTATAAAGTTCTGTTGCTCCATAAATGATTGAAACTGCAACCAATAAAGTAACTAATGAGCAACAAATTTTTAAGTATAATTTGAATTTATATTTCTATTTTTATATATATAAAATATATTTATATATTTTTTTTATATTTAATTTATCAAAGCACTTTTAGAAGTCACTGCATTTATTATAGTCTCAATCTTACGTAAATAATATTTCATAATTATTGCAGTACATGTACTCCTTGGGAGCACCATCAAATATTTTTTGTATACTCCTTGTTTTATTTATATTTGTCTATTTCTTCAACTAAAAAGGCAAGTGGGCTTTATCTTATGTAAATAGATATTTAACTGCATTACATTCACAAGCTCCTGATGAGCAACAACCAATATTTTTGTAACATTCCTTGTTTTAGGATATGTCTGTTTCTTCCACTGAAAAGGCAAGAGGGCTTACAATCCCAATCTTATGTAAATAAATATTTCATTGCATTACATGAGCTCCTTAGGAGCATCATTTTTGTTATATTCCTGGCTTTAATATATATCTATAAATAAATTTTAATTAGTTACCTATGTACCTTGTGTGTTTCCAGTAGATATAGGTTAGCTTTAAAATAGACAAAATGTAAACCGGGTTTTGTGATTCCAAAATGTATCTTGAGACAAGTAAAAAATTTTTTCTTCTAGCCTTCTACAGTAGGCCCTTAACCAAGTCACTCAAGGCATATTACATTTTCCATGCACTGGAATGCAATGTAATGTAAACAACAGTGTACTGCATTTTCCATTGTTGGGGGGAGGTTGCAAAGGGGTCAACTAAAGTGGTGGCGTTAAGGAACCCATCGCTACGTAGGACCTACTTTCTTAAATTTTGGAAAAAAAGTAAAGGGGGAGACTCCTCAGTCCCCTGGCTCTGCCATCATCATCAACACAACTCATATCATCATTTGCCAACCAGCAAGGTGATTTTTTGAACCAGGTGTCATGCCAAGGGTCCATTTTTGATATCTTTCATCGTTCTCCCAATTTCGAAGATCACTAAACATGGTATAGTCACACTGGCTCTCCCCAGTCGTACTTTCTTGATGGATCTTACAGTACATATGGATATCAGGGCAAACCCTGGCCCTGAAACTGTTATTAGTGCGAGAAGTGCAACTGGAAGCAAGTTATTAAATTCAAATGTTCCCGCAGTTGGAAATATAGAATATTCAAGGAGCGATTTATTGAAGCTTAAGTCCAAATATATTATATCTGAAGATATTTATCGTGTCTTAAAGACTAACGACATATTGAGAACAAGGGGAAAGCGCTGTGGCTTGGCAGTTCAAGGCAATATCTACAAGATCCCTGTCCGTTTGACCTTTTGTGATTCAGTTGATACCAGCTAGGCTCTTACCGATAGTGCTAGCACTTTTTTTGGCATTATTTGGCTTCGCGAGCATTTTTTTTTACATTTAATCCCAAAAAGCACTGCTAGCATTATTTTGGATTTTCCACTGATTATTTGTATAATTTTGAGTTAAAAAGTACAATCTGACTTTGTTTATGTCGTCAAAAGCCGCATTTTGCCCTCACTTTAGTCAAGGGAGCCAAGGAGGCGTGGGGAATAGGTTTGATAGATCAGCGGTTGCCCTCTAGAAACCGAGTCCACACTCGTTCCAAGATGGCGTCATCCACGTTGTCATCGAGGAGCAATGGAAGTCAGCCAGCCAAGGCAGAGAGAGCTCGAGAGCGTACTCTGCCATTTTGTTGTTGAAAAATGTAACTGAAAATCTGAAAATATAGTATTCTATGTTTAAAAAAATCGGGAAAAGGTGAGCATTTTTATGTAACCCACGAGCACTTTTTAAAAAAATTAGCATTATTTTAACACTTTTTTGGCAAAAAACAAGCAATGCTTTAAGCATTTAATGCTTTTTTACGAGCACTGTTGGTAAGAGCCTAATACCACCAACAAGCGAGTGAATTTGCATAATCTTCAGCAAGTTTCTCAGATAGAGGAATACAGAATTCCCACAAGAATAACTACAAACTAAAACAAAGCAGGACAGTATTCTTGGTCTGCTTTCGGACGTCTGTCTCGATCCAATCATTCAAATTTAACTACCATTCCACGATCGCCACTTGCAATTTCTGCTGATCAACAAGTGAAGCCTGTCGCCCTCTGTCTTCTGAATGCCAGATCAGTGAAAAACGTATCATTTATTATCAAAGACTTCATTGATGACAAGAACATTGACATTCTCGCAGTCACCGAGACGTGGTTGCAAGCTGACATTTCCAACCAGATCACTGTCAATAACATCTATCCTACTGGATTTGTTCTTCACCATTTACCTCGTTCTTGACATAGGGGCCGTGGTGTTGCCTTGCTATATAAAAACCAGTTCAGATTGAAGAAATTGTCACCAGATACTTCTTCCAACTCGTTTGAGTTAACTGATTGTATGATCAGCTATTGGTCATCTAGACTACGGATAGTGGTAGTTTACAGACCTCCACCTTCAAAAAAGAACCAACTGAATGTTGCCATGTTCCTAGAGGAGTTCAGTTCCTTCCTTGAAAAGGTTGTAACAACTACTGAACCACTAGTCCTTGTCGTCGACTTCAATTTCCATCTGGATAATGAAAATGATCGATCTGCTGCTCGATTTCAAGATCTGCTACGGGCCTTTGATCTAATACAGCATGTACAGGACTCCACCCACAAAAATGGTCACACTCTGGACCTGATGATCCCTAGAGCGGGTGAAGAACCTGTGCGTAATGTTAGAGTATCAGATCCTGCCATATCTGATCATTGTGCTGTACACAGAGAAACTTTGTGTCTGACTAAACCGAACTTTGAGAGAAGGACAATTACATAACCAAAAACTATGCTCGCTGGCTAGTGGCCTCTTTATTCAAGATATCATGAATTCAAAGCTGATGAATCATAATTTTACTGATGTGTCAGTACTTACTGACTGTTACACTAACACATTGTGGTCACTACTTGACAAGTATGCTTCGGCTAAGTCACGTGTCGTAACTATGAGACCTGCTGCACCTTGGTACTCGGATCACATCAGACTTGAAAAAACAAAAAGAAAGAAACTGAAACGCAAATGGCGCAGAGACAAACTCACAATTCATCGAGAAATTTATGTCGAACAGTGTGCTCGTGTTAATAAACTAATACACGATTCCAAGATACAGTATTATGCCAATGTAATTGATGGAAATGCCAACAACCAAGGTGTGCTGTTCTTATGCATTGGAAAAATGTTAAACCCGACAGCTGACAGGAAATTACAGTCACATGAAAATGAACGTGACGTTGCAAACAGCTTTGTGGACTTTTTCAGTGACAAGGTGCAGCGAATATGTATGAGCCTACCACCTGCAACAGTCTCTTCATGTTTGAATATTAACACAGCGTGTAACGACAACTGTCCTGGGTTTTCCCTGACATCTGTAAAGGAACTTTGTGAGTTTTCCCCGACATCAGTAAATGAGTTGTCGTCTCTTCTGAAAACTATGTCTTCCAAGTAATGCGTTTTAGACCCGATTCCGGCCATCTTAATGAAAGAGTGTTATGACACCCTGCTACCTGTAATTACTGACACTGTTAATCTGTCTCTCAACACTGCGATTGTGCCTACAGCCTTCAAAGAAGCTGTCGTTGAACCCATACTGAAAAATGACTCTCTACATCATGAAGTATGCAGGAACTTCAGACCTATTTTGAACC